TTATTCTGCTTCAATTTGTTACCATGGGTTGTGGCAAAATGATGAAGGAAAATTCAACAGACTGCCAGGGGCCAGTTGGATTTGAAAACATTTGTATTCAACACAGCAGACACTCTTGGATACAAGAACAGTTTTTAGATGTGATGGCGACAGGGAAAAAGAAATAAATAGTAGGGACAGAGGACTGTCCCCATGGGAGATAACAACCAGGCTCAAAAAACCCTCCACCAAATAGGCCAAGCAAAACCCAGCCAATGAGACAGGTCTGCACCCGGAATACTAACCATTCCACTCCAGGAAAGTGACAACCTGGCTCAGCCAGCGATGCCATTTGTCAGGAAAGAGGGACTGAGTACAAGCTGAGGTCATGTGTTACTGGCCACAGAGGCCCCGAAAGAAACACACTTGCAGCCCAGTCTGTAGATGCAACAGAGCCCAGGAAGGGTCATCGCTGGCTTTTGTGGTGGGGCTGGGAACAGCCCCTCATCCGAGGAAGAAGTGTTCTTTCACTGTTAAGATGCAAGAGCTGACTTTCCGCCATGCTTACGTCTGTCATAGGAAAGTTCAAAATCCATAAGGCAGAAATCAGGGGACGACGCATCTCTCCAGGGCCTCAGCTGCTTAGTGATGTCATGGGCTTGCTGTTGTTCTCTTGACACAGGGTCTCTTGTAGCCCAGGCTGGCTTTGAACTTGGTATTGTAGCAAAGAACCCCCTTGGACTTCTGACCCTCCTGTTTCTATCTCTTAAGTGCTGGGATTGTAGGCGAGTGTCCATATGAACAAGGTTTTAAACGCATGCTGAGCAAGTACTCTACCAACTGAGTTACACTCCCAGTCTTGATAACGTTGGTTTTGCGACAACTAAAGGATTTACATGGGTCACATGGCATTCCTAGCCGTCACTTGGATGCTTTTTTGGGAGAGGCTGACCACAGCAAGAAAGGCCTTCCCAGAGCTGGGAGCAGGCCTTCTTCCTAATGGTTGACAACAGTCCTTCCTTCTTTTCCATAGGGTGGGCTCCATGGACTCATCAGCCATTCATTTCTTCATAGTCAGAGAGGGTGTGGAATATATAGGATAATATGTGTGAAATATGTGAAAGAATAGTAGAAAGATGGTGTGCTTAAGCGTGAACCTAGGCCGCAGGGTGTTTAGAAACTGAATTATCTCCCTCCGACAGGTGTTCTCCTGCTACTTCGAGATTTGAAGAGGCTGTGGCACCTTCAGGAGGTGGGGTCTTGCTGGCAGAAATCAGTCACCTGGTGCCACTGCCATAAACTTTTTTATGCCTTCCCTGCCACAGTGGACTAAAACCTTCCCAAAGCATAAGCCAGGGCCAGTGAGACTGCTCAGTGTGTAAAGGTACGTACAGCCTAACTTGATGACCTACTTTAAACTCTGGGACACATGGTGGAAGGAGAGAGCCAACTCACAAGAGTTGTCCCCAGACCTGAGGATATTTGCTCTCCACATGCTAAAATAAGTGAATAATTGAATAAATAAATAAATCTCAAAAATCATAAGCCCAGATTAATCTTTCTTATTACCTGTGTCAGGTAGTTTGGCTGTAACACTGTGGATGTAACTTACATACTTTAACTGTGAAGAGTGTGACGAAAATGGAGGTCTGTGGAGGGGAACAGGCCCAAGGGAGTTGGCTTCTGGGGTAGAGGCCAGACAGCTTGACAGAGGGCTGAGACAGCAGGACTGAACACTTCCCCTGCCTGCTCAAGATCCCGCAACACAGCTCTGGGGCCTGGAGATTCTGTAAGAAGGTGACTTGATAAAAGCCTTCCTTGAGACTGTCACTGCCTGAGATGAGGGCCAGGGCATGGTGTCCGAGTCTGTGGGGAATTGGAAGTCCAGACTCCTATTGATTTGTTTTGAAAGACCCCTCCAAAAACTGGCAAAGGAAAAGAGTTGAGATTTCTGGGGTTGGATTTGTATGACTCCTGGCCTGATCTTTTCCAAGCCTTTCATAAATCACATCCATATTTGATTACCTTTAGATAAGTAGCCTCTGCCTGGCCACTGAGGTAGACACAGCTAGTAAGCTGTCTGGATTACACTAGCCTGTCTTCTGGAGTCTTCCAGGTCATTCCCTGAAGAGAAATGAGAGCAGGGAGATTCTTTGGCAGTACTTTTGGGAGGATTATTTTGGGTGAGAGACTTTTGAGGTCTTTCCAGATACTCCAAATGAATCTTACGAAGCCAGTCATGTCAGCCCAAGCGTGTCAATAGGGTCCAAGGGACACAGCCTGCCTATAAGGCAGCCCCTGGCCAGCCTGATGCTGGCTGTATAGGGAAGGGGGTGGAGCAGAGGGACCATGAGGTCGGAGTCTTTATCTACTGTCACTGAGAGTGAGTGAGCAAAGCTTGTGCAGGTCACAGCATGGCTGACAGTCTGTCTTTGTGTATGACTATATAATTGATGGCCACTGATGCTGGACGTGGGGATGCCAGCAGTTGAATTTGAGAACCTTTTACTGTCCCCATCTCTGTAGGTCCCTCTGGTGTCAGCCTTCTCTCCACTGTGTAATCCCAGAGGCCCAACACTCCCCTGGTCTGTAGTGTTAACTGATGAACAAGGACTCTTGGGGCAGACTAGGGCGCTGGGAGAGTTCAGAGGCTTGATGGAGGCTGGGATCTGTTGGGTGTGGCCTTGGAAACCCACTGGTCTGTGAGACAAGGTCACATCCAGTTTCAACACTCTTCTTTCAAAGAGGGTTCTTCATGAGCATCATGGGGGAGCATGAATGGATGCCTCGTAATTCATAGACCCTTCTGCACACACATGTCTTTGTATTGCCATGTGTGCTGTACATGGCTCTACATATATACCTCATCTTAGAACCTTCAGAAGACAGACTTGGGGCAGTCCTTAGATCTCTCTCCTTCCTAATGCTAAATAAATCTTTAAACATTAAATAAATCTCCCTTCTCTACTTTTCCCTAATCAGATGGCTCCCTTGCCCCTTCCCCACTGAGCTGAGGGTGAAAGGGTGCAAAACCCCCACATAGTCCTGGAACCCTGACTAGGTGTGGCAAGGGCATAAGGAAATGCTGCTTGCAAAGGATTCTCACAAACAAGATTAGGAACCAAGGCTTACAGTGCTGGGATTAAAGGTGTGTGCCATCACAACCAACACAAAGGTTTGTTTTTAATTCTTTTACATTTATTGTGTGTGTGTGTGTGCAATTCCATGCGTGCCCATGTGGATGTCAAGAGGTCAATGTCAAATACTCTATACCTTTTTAAAATTAATTTTGTTCATGTTTGTATGCCAAGTGTGCCTTCCACATGCTCCAGCGTGATCATGCTGAGTGAACTAAGCCTGATTAAAGAGACACACATGGCATGACTCCACCTCTTCCTAGCTGCTGCCATCAAATTCAGATAGCTAAGGTTATCAGAGGCTGAGGGAGATGAGGGCAAGAGGACCGGTGTTAAATGGGAGCAGATTGTTTTAGATGATGATAAAACTTGAGCACAGAAGGGTGGGGGGATGAGTATAAACTAATGTAAATGTACTTAATGTTGGAAACTGAGGCAGGGGGATTCCAAGTTGCAGATCCACCTCTTTCTCCTCCCCCACATAGCTAACATAATGGAAGCAAAAGGAACACAAACTACGTGGCAGGAGACAAAGTGCACAGTGGCACCCCCACTACCATAGCCTCCAATTGTCCCCACACAAATGAGAGCTCTGCGTGTGTGTCTGGTGCCTGTAGAGGGCAGAAGAGGGCACCAGATCCCCTGGAACGGGAGTTATGGAAGCCACATAAGCTGTCATGTGCTGGAACTTGAAACCTAGGTCCTCTACAAGAGCAGCAAGTACTTTCTCTGTTGGGCCATCTCTCCAGCCCAAGATTTACTAATTTTAGGTGTGTGTGCGCTCAGGTGCATGAGACCACAGGGTCAGAAGAGGACTTTGAATCCCTTGGAACTGGAGTTATAGGTGGTTGTGAGCTGCCATGTGAGTGTACTGGGAGCCACATCTGGGTCCTCTGTAAACTCAGTAAAAACTTAACCACTGAGGCATCTTTCCAGCCTTCACCCCATCTTTTTTCCCTCCTTGAGACAGTCCCACTATGTATCCCAAGCTGGCTCCTGTCTCAGCATCCTTAGTGCTGAGACTACAAATGTGTGTTGCAATACCTGGCTTTTGATACTTGGGGTTGGGGAGGGAAGTGCTCTGGGGATATAGTTGAGCTGGCAGAATGCTTGCACAGTACACATGAAGCCCTGGGTTTGATCTTCAGCACTGCATATGGACTGAGGGAACATGCCTATAATCCCTCCATTCTGGAAGATACAAAATTCAAGGTCATTCTTGAATTTTGAATTTCAGCTCCCATTTAATACCGGTCCTCTTGCCCTCATCTCCCTCAGCCTCTGATAACCTTAGCTATCTGAATTTGATGGAAGATGCCACGAAGAGGGAGAGTCATGCCCTGTGTGTCTCTTTAATCAGGCTTAGTTCACTCAGCATGACAGTAAGTTCTGATCACGCTGGAGCATGTGGAAGGCACACTTGGCATACAAACATGAACAAAATTAATTTTAAAAAGGTATAGAGTATTTGACATTGACCTCTTGACATCCACATGGGCATGCATGGAATTGCACACACACCCACACACAATAAATGTAAAAGAATAAAAAACAAACCTTTGTGTTGGTTGTGGTGGCACACACCTTTAATCCCATTTGATGAGTTCAAGGCCAGCTTGGGCTACATTCAAAGTGAGATCATGTTTCAAAAACTAAGAAAAACCAAACCAAATGAACACCCACCCCCCCAAGACTATCTGAGCATCCACCAGAGCTTGGCGCTTATGCATTCTGTGTGATACAGTTCTCGTGTTTCTTATAAAAACACACTCAATATGTTCTCATCATGGAGAATCTGAAAAATTTTAAGTACAGAGAGGTGAGGGGAACCCACCACCACAAAACATTGTCCATCTTACCACCTAGAAATAACAACTCCTCACATTTTGATCAACAGAGTTCCCATTTTTACTGTGCACACTCTTATTAAACTATTATAAAAACTACTTTACAATATGTAGTTTTATAATTTGGCTTTCTAGTAATGTATATGGGGACTAGAGAGATGGCTCAGCAGTTAAGAGCACTGACTGCTTTTCCAGGATCCAGGTTCAATTCCCAGCAGACACATGGCAGCTCACAGCTGTCTGCAACTCCAGTTCCAGGACACCCAACACCCTCACCCAGATATGTATGCAGGCAAAACACCAATGCACATAAAATAAAATTAAAATCAAAAGCAGAATGTGGCCATGTGGTATAGTTTTAGGCTGGTGGCCTAGCTCACACAGCTTTTAGGCTGCTCTTAGCACACACAATGCTTTGACGGCCAGCACAGGCAGAACGGGGTGGAGCTGTGCAGAGGTAAGGCCTGGTTAGTGTTTTGAGGGGAGTGTCAGGGATCACTATGACTATTACTTTCAAATGAATGACAAGTGATCACCTTTGCTAGGGCACTGGCATTGAATTCATATGACACCTACACTTTCATTTCTAGAAAAAGGCAAATGCCAGCTAGCATGAAAGTGGTCGGCACAGACGGAGCTTGTCCTGGAGTCCTGGATGCTGGCAGATCCTGGTCCATCACATGACCATCTGAAAGGCAGAGATGCTTGGTCATCATAGGAAACCCCTCCAACCTCCCCGCTGCCTCCACTGCCAGAACACAGGTCTAGCTTCAAGATCCAGAACTCTGCTGGGGCCTAACTGGATGAGGACAGTGTGCCCACAAGATCAGCAGTGCTAACTATGACTCTGGCTCCCCCAAGAGTTTTCATCCAAAGTTGCTGCAGACCAACTGTTAATTGGCTCTTCCCTGGATACTTTCTAGTCCAGTGTTGGTGCAGACCTTGGTTAGGTTCTGGTAAGGGGACAGCACATCTCAGGCCCCAAATTCCAAGAAGAAAATATAGTTCCCATTCATCCAATCACTCTACCCTCATTTGCTAATAATATAAACACAACCCCCAAAACGCAATGGTAAAGACACAGATCCTATACTGGGGGACAGTAGGGTTTCATCTTGTATCAGATGAAGGTACACCTTCATTTACTTTATGAACTGCACACATTCAATTATAAGAGTCCAAATGTGAGTCACTCAGGAAAACCCAGCCAAATGGGGTGGGGACCACACGGGCTCCTCTGCTCTCTCCTATGTTCTGACCCTCTTGCTATTGTCTCCTTCAGATCTATAAGACGAAGGGTGCTGTGACCAGCCACCACAGATCCTTAGGGTGCAGAAAAAGCAGTTATGGAGGCTCACAATTTTAAACCCCAGCATTGGGAGTGGAGGACAGAAACAGGCATCAGATCTCTGTGAGTTCCAGGTCAGCCAGGGTTACATGGTGAGACCTTGTCTCATAAATGTGTTCAGGACACCAGTGGGGTGGAAGTGCTGGTAGACCTGAGACTGGTAGGACATTCCTGTAATCTCAGCACTGTGGAGGCTGAGGCATGAGGACTGATGGGAGTTTGAGGCCAACTTAGACTATATAGTGAGTCCTAAGCCAGCCTGGGCTACAGAATAGGATGAAAACAAAATAAAACAAGCAAACAAAAAATCAAAACAGCCAATCCAAACCCACACCAGTGCACAGGAAGGATTAGCTGTAGCAGTGGGTTCTAACTGAATGGCCGTCCTGGGGTCTGCTGGGATCTTCTGCCCAAAAGTAGACCCAGCAAGCACTTCTTGATGCAAAGTGTCAAACTCTTGTGTTCACTGTGTCCAGCAGAAGCTTGCTGGTTATCAGTGTCAAGTAAACTTGAAGGAACTCTGCAGGCAGTGTGTCAGTACGGGTTGAGGGAGTGTCCCTCACCAAGGACCCCACATCTGAGGGCTCTCCTAAAGATCCATTGTATCAGGGACCGCACACCCACAGCTCTGTATCTGAGCAAGCATTCCCCCTCAAAGCATATGCCTCAGGAACATCCACCAGTGTCCTTACGTCTGAGGGAATGTCCAACAACACCCCATGACCCATGCCTGAGGGAGCACCCCCAAGGATCCATATCTAAGAGAACACTACCTAAGGTAGCATCCACCCTGTGTCACTATGTCACCACATCTAAAGAAACATTTCCCAGGGACATCACATCTAAGGGACCACTCCCTAAGGACCTAATGTCCGAGGAGCACCCATCAAGGATCCCTAGGTTCTACACCCTCTGGAGCCCTTATGCTATTTTATAAGTAGAGTTCCCTGGCTGGCAGGTCCTGTCAGACCTGGAAGAAAGTTCTGGAAGAACAGGAGGAGGAAAGTTCTGGAAGACCGTGAGGCAGAAAGAGAGTCCCTCCGGCATCTAAGGGAACCTACAGGACTAAAGAAGGAACAGCTGCTTACCACAGCCAGGTAAAAAGGTCTGAGGAAAACAGTGGAGCTGGCCATGCCAACACCTGCACAGGGAACACTTCTTGGGCAGCCAGTTACCGTGGAGGACAGACCCACAGTGCCTGAGAAAGACGAGACAACACAGTCAGGAAATTCCTCAGTCCCTTCCCTCCCCACCACCCAGTCCTGTTCCCTCCAACAGCTTACTCTTTTCGTACGTCACGTTCACAGTTGCGTCCATAGAAAGAAGGTGGACAGGCACAGAAGGACCCCAGGATGCAGGTCCCTCCATTCAGGCAGCAGGTTTTGTTAAGCAACTTACCTGAAACGTAAAAGAAGTCATGGGGCAGGTGGAGGACGGATGAGCCATAAGCATAGGTTCTCTAGCACTCCAGCCTCCGTCTCCATAGAGTATTCTGAAGAGCCCACAGCACAAGACTACTTTTTAGGGAAGTCATTTCCATGTGCAGACCAGTTATGGTTACCAGTCCCCAGCACAAAGTAGCATTAGGAAAAACTGGATTTCAGATGTGACACAGCACGCCCGTCTCACTCACCTCTATACCCCAAGCTAGTACAATGAACCCAGTCACTAGTATAACACACCCACTTTCTTAGGTTGGTGCTAAAGTTACTTTAGAGATGTGTCAAGGGCCAGGACAGAGATGAATTAAGTCAAGCAAGTCTTACTGTTCTGTATCCCCACGGAAGGCACCAACTTGAAAGACTGAGAATGTACTGCAGGTCCTTCTGGGTTGCGAAGGCTGTTATCTCTGATGGCCAGGTCTCTCGGAGACAGAATAGTCACCTCATGGTGGTCCAACCCTGTGTTATGTATTTCAAGTCACATAAAATATTGTTAGTATTGCAGGGCGGTGGTGGTGCATGCCTTTAATCCCAGCACTCGGGAGGCAGAAGCAGGCAGATCTTTGTGATTTCGAGCCCAGCCTGGTCTACAAGAGCTAGCTCCAGGACAGCCTCCAAAGCCACAGAGAAACCCTATCTTGAAAAAACCAATATATACATATATATATTATATATTAGTATATTAGTATTGTTAGTGTTCATAAGAAGCAGCCCCCCTCAAAAAAACAAAGCAAAAGTCCCACCCCCCCACCCAAGTTTGGTCTCACACACCTGTGATCTCAGCACTCAGGAGGAGGAAGGGTACTGAATTAGATGCCAGCCTGAGGCCCTATCCCAAACACCGGAAGCTGAGGGTGTAGCTCAACGGCAGTGTACTTACTATGTATAATGCTTAATCTCAGCACAGAGGAGGTGGGGATGGAGTGGAGTTATCTAGGAGTATTTCCAGTAGGTGCAAAGCCCAGGGCCATATCCCCAGCACCATGTGAACAACAAAAAAGTTGGTGCTCAAAAGGAAAAAGTAATCCAGCCAGGTTCAGTTGTAAACTGAGGTAGAGGCAGGAGAATCAGGAGATCAAGGTCAACCTTGGCTCTATTGTGAGTACCTTGGCAACCTAGGCTACAAGGTCTTTACCCCCAAACAAAAAACAAATGTGTTTATGGATGTGTACAAAACTCGCTGGGTGTGGTGGTGGCTCTGGGATTGTTAGAGGCAGGAGAAGCAGGAGTCCCGGGACAGTCTGGGCTCAGTGACACCCAGTCTCAAATCCTGAACCCCAGCTGTGCAGAGGTGAAGACCTTCACCTTTAATCCTAGCTCTCAAGAGGGAGGGGCAGGCAGGTCTCCATGTGTTCAAAGCCAGCCTAGTCTACAGAGTGAGTTCCGGGACAGCCAGGAAAATTCAAAGAAACCCTGTCTTGAAGCTCCCTACCCCCCAAAAATACTTTGAACCCCAAGAGAAAGGAGAAAACTCTCACCAGCAATGAGTCCAAATTCAAATGCACCCGAAATGACCAGAAGTAAAACCAGACTAGGAAAAGGAAATTGGACATCAGTTAGCGAGACAAAGCGTGTAAAACTGGGGCTCCCATCAGAAGACCACAGGTCACTAAGGAGCATCACTTTCTTCTGTTAGTAGAGCCTCCAGTAAGAAAACTGGAACAGAAATTCCTTTTTTTTAAAAAAAAAATTCTGTTTTGCATAAACTGCATATTTTCCATGCAATTTACAAATATGAATTTTAAGATGGCTGTGTGTGCTGGGCTGGGATAGAGCACTTGCCTAGCATGTGCAGATCCTGGTTTGATTCCCCAGCACCATCAGAAAAAACAAAACAAAACAAAACCTGTCCTGTCATTTAAAATGTTCCAAGTTTAATTTGTTTGTTATTTTTTATTTTAAAGATTGGATTTATTTATTATGTATACAGTCTTCTGCCTGCAGGCCAGCAGAGGGCACTGGATCTCATTCAAGGTGGTTGCGAACCACCATGTGGTTGCTGGGAATTGAACTCAGGACCTCTGGAATAACAGTCAGTGCTCTTAACCACTAAGCCATCTCTCCAGCCCTGTTTGTTATTCTTAATAGTTTCTTAAAGTACCGAATACCTCTACCATTAACTTTTTCAGGCAATCTTAACTCGGCTGCAATACTAGTATTATTTATGCAAGAGAAAGAAAGTGTTATTTCTTTGGCAAGAGCTGTTAACATGAGCTTTACAACCTGAGTTGGATGCCCAGGACCCACACAGGGACCTGACTCCTGACCTACACACACACACATACACACACACACACACACACACACACACGAATGTTAAAAAAAAAAAAAACTGAATATTTTAAAAAGTCAATGGCAAAGCATGCAACTAACTATAAAGTGCCAGGATGTTCAGGAAAAGCAGCGACGCTATTGGCAGCATTTTAAGGTTCAAATAAGACAAAAATCAGAAGGGCAGAACACGATTTTCTGAAGTTGCAATCTCCAGCAATCAAAAATTCAGTTAGCCGGGCGTTGGTGACGCACGCCTTTAATCCCAGCACTCGGGAGGCAGAGGCAGGCGGATCGCTGTGAGTTCGAGGCCAGCCTGATCTCCAGAGCGAGTGCCAGGATAGGCTCCAAAGCCACACAGAGAAACCCTGTCATGAAAAAAAAAAAAAATTCAAAGTTAGCTCATACCTGGACGAGAAGTGCTCCATCTTCCACGGCTCGTAAAAATGTTGCAGAAAAATACAAGGAAAACAATATTAAGAAATGGCTTTAATTCATAAGGTCATTCACCAAACACCCAAAGGTTAATTTCCGGAAGTGAAAAATAGCAAATTAAAAAATAAAGACTCCAGATGAGAAATGCGCCTCTCCGGGAGGACAGTCCACAGCCAAGGTCTGCAAGCAGACTGGGGGGATGGGGCCTCTCCCGCCAATAGAAGGTGTTGACCTTGAGAAAGGACGTCCCAGGGATCTTCCTTCCTTCACTAGAAACCCTTGGGGTGGCGGGGAGGACCCTCAGGTGGGCGGGGAGACGGAGCCCCACGCCCATTACTAGGCCCCGGCCTTGCAAGGCCAAGGGGTGGACTTGGCTATCCAGCAGTGTCTGGTTAGGTACAGGTTTCTTTTCTCTTGAAAAAGGGGTCACAGAGAGTTATTCTACCAAGGCAGTTCAAATACGAAAATCGTTTTAATTAGGAACGTCTAAACACCATGTATAAATATGTAGGCATTTGATACTTCATTATAAGATTTTAGATCTGAATTTGCTTTCATCTTTTTGCTAAAGAGCCGCGTGGTTGCCGGCTGCTGGGGAAGCTTGGGTGGGTGGCTAGGAAGATGCGCTGGCGACCGGCGAAGACTTGTTTGCGTAAGGAGCAAGGTCAAGGTCGGGAGGGATTAAGTGTGCTTGAGTCTGCAAGCAGCTCCGGAATTGCCGGCGACCCGGGAGCCTGCGGGTGGGCGCGGGGACCAGCGGGACCAGAAGGTGAAAGCTGTGGCTCCACAAGGACTTTTATAGGTCGCTTGGTTCTTCCGTGCCCAAACATGCCCAATATGCTAAGTGGATGAGTTGCAGTTTACTAGCCTCTCTCTGTCTCGATGTGGGGATCGGGAGGGCCTCGCCTCCGGTCTGGGGTTGTGCCTCCCTCCATTGCTAGATGCTGGGCAGGTCTGGCCCGACTCGAGGAAAACATACGACCCCGCGTGATACTCCCTTTGCTGAAGGCGCTATAGCGGAGCATAGACGTTGGCGGCCACCTCCCTGTTTCAGAGAAAGGGATTGAGGCTACTATTCTTAGGAGATGCTTCAGAGTCCCAGGAGGCCAGCCTTTCAGCCAAGGACCTGTGCCATCAGAAACTCTGCCTCCTGCGGACACTTGGGGCAGAGGAGTCACATGTGTGTGACCCAAGTGGAATGCCACAGGTAAAGGGCTCCAATACTTAACTATTTGCCTTGGAATACAAAGTCTGTCCATTTTATTTTAGTATTTTAGATTTATTCTCATGCTCGATATGAGCAGTCAGGTATTAGGAACTGGGGCAAGCACACTATTGTCTGTCAGTCACAAAAGCAGGACATGTAAGAGGTGGAGGCAGGAGGTTTGAAGTAAGAGGACAGCCAGGTCTTCAGAGTGAGTTTAAGGCTAGTCTGTGCTACAGGTAAGATACTGCTTTTTGTTTGTTCTAACCTTTCTTTTAAGAAAGGGTCTCACTCAAGCTCAGGCTAGCCTGGAGCTCTCAGTTACCTTCCCACCTCTGTTTCCCCAAATTCTGGGATTACAGGCAACAAGTACCATCAAGCTCAGCTAAACTAAGAGATGGCTCAGCAGTTAAGAGCATGGGCTGCTCTTACAGAGGACCTGGGCTCAATTCCCAGCACCCACATGGCAGCTCACAACTGTCTGTAACTCCAGTTCCAGAAGATCTGGCACCTTCTCACAGACATACATTCAGGCAAAACATCAATGCATGTAAAAATAAATCTTTAAAAGAAATATAAAACTCAAAAGCAACAACCCTCCCCCCTTTTGCTGTAGGCCTCTATGGTGATTTACTGCCTTCCTAGTCCTCAGTACATTCACACCGGCCAGCAACCAAGACAGTGGGCGGGCCTGGCTAATTCTGTCCACGCCCAGTCTCTCAACCCCCACCCCCACCCCTCAAAAGGGCCTCCAGCCTCTTTTCCAGTTCCCGAAAGTCTGTTGGCATCTGTTATTTCCCTGCAGGCCCCGGCTCCTTCATTAACAAGCTAATGGCTGTTTTCACTGAGAACTTGACAAACAGAACAGACAGATTCCTGCATACAGACTGGAAGGGTGCAAGTGTGAAGAGGAATGGCAGGCGATTAAGAGGGGGACACCATTGCTTCTGTGTGGTTTATGTTCCTTCTCCACCTGTGTAGACATACCAAGAATTATCACTGGTCCCGGCAGGACACGTTTCTACTGTGTCTTCCTTTGCCTGCATAACTTGGGGACTCTTGAGGGCGTATTCTGGTAAAAAACCGAGCACTAAAATGGCTTGCTTAATTCATGCATGCTTCCAAAATGTTTGTTCCACAATCCCACCCATGTCCCTTTTCTTTCTCCTTTTACTGCAAAACCGTGTGTAAAGAGCCCCTCTTTCTGGACCCTGAAGATTTTGCTGATGTGAATTTTGTTGTTTGGATTTGCATATCTCACTGTGTTGCTGGGTGTTTGTATTTTGCTCCCTATGACCTGGTGGTTGGTGGTTCTTACAGTGCCCTTGAACTGGCTTCTTTGGGCACAGCCTGAATGTCATTTGCTCTGGGAATTCCTTCTTGGCACCCGTTCTCTTTATCCCCGGCTTCCAGCTGGGGCCACTGCCCCGCCCCAGAGTTTATTTTGCTGTAAACTGCTTATTTTCATGTCTTTCACCCCTTTACCCCGGGTTTCCACCTAGGAGGTCTACAGCCTGGCGTTCCAGAACTCTGAGCAACCCTGATAGCAGTGTCTCCCTAAGCCAATTAGGAAATCTTCCTCCATGGGCCACCCTGTGGTCTACAGAAGAATTAAGTCTAGGCCCTATTTTCTGAAATAGGAGTTAGAGCAAGAGCTTTGAGAGACAAGCCAGGAAGACAATATTTCCCCCTGAACCCGATCCTGGAGAAATAACAAAGCACATTGCTTTCCTCCAAAAATGAAGAAAAGAAACCCCAGTCTTGCTGTTATTATTGATATGACGGGTACCTTATTCTAAAGTTTGCCCTGCATAAGACAAGATGATTTGGTGCAGTTCCTGGGAACTGTGTCAGAGGAGGGGTAGTTTCATTTACACTTTTAGGGTGTGTGTGTGGGGGGGGCATGTGTGATTTTTTATAATTCTATTTATTTATTTGTTTATTGTGTGTGTGTATGCACGTGTGATATTTTACAATCCAATCCTATTTATTTTTGGTGTGTGCATCTATGTGTGTGTGCGTGCACACGTCTGGCACGTGTGTGAAATCAGGGGACTTGGTTCTCTCCTTCCACAATGCAGGTGCCCCAGATAAAACTTGGGTCCATCCATCGGGCTGTTATGCCAGCAAGCCCCTTTCCCCACTGAGTCAGTCTCCTTACCTGCTCTGCTCCAGCTTTCTCCAACTCTTTTGCATAAATCTTTCTTCTGCCAATCAAATTGATTAGCTACTCACTAGCCAGCCACTTGGGCTATGCATTGCGCAGTGGGGCAGGCCATGCTTCCTTTCCCCATTCTGTTTTTTTTTTTTAATATTTTATTTATTTATTATGTATACAACATTCTGCTTCCATGTGTATCTGCACACCAGAAGAGGGCACCAGATCTCATAACAGATGGTTGTGAGCCACCATGTGGTTGCTGGGAATTGAACTCAGGACCTCTGGAAGACCAGTCAGTGCTCTTAACGTCTGAGCAATCTCTCCAGCCCCCCCCCTTCCCCATTCTAGATAAGACAAGCCAAATACCATTCTAGTTGCATTCCCAAACTCCTGGGTGAGGAGAAAGGACAGTTCTGGCTTGACCATTCACCCACACTATCAAAGTTAATTGGCCTCCACATACAAGCGGCAGACAGGCCCCTGGGAGACAATCAATCTGGAAGGCAAACTGGGCTGCAATTGATTTTCACAAGATTTAGAGGACATCATTTAAAAAAATATTTATTTTATGTATGTGAGCGGCCTGTCTTATCTTCAAGCACACCAAAAAGAGAGCATCAGATCCCATTATAGTTGGCTGTGAGCCACTATGTGGGTGCTGGAAATTGAACTCAGGATGCCTGGAAGAGCATCCAGTGCTCATAACTGCTGAGCCATCTCCCCAACCCCTAGAGGATGTCATTTAAGAGTGAGTCTTAGGTGGGTTTATATTTGATGGCTTACAAGTATATGTCATAGCTCTCAGGGATTTGAATGGATGAGATGCAAATGAAAGGCAGGGAGCTGGGAACAGGCCCAATCCGCCATCACCCAATCCGCCATCAGAAGTAGAGTTAAAAGTCTGTCCTGGTCAGTGAGCAGATCTCCTTTGTGCAAATGATTCAGGTATGCTCACATATATCTTCTCCTGTTAAAAGTCAGTTGAGCCAGACTTCTGACTTAATGGAAATGAAGTGGGGATTGTTTTAAGTCATTGAGTTTGTAAGACTTTATAGCTAGCTGGGCGGTGGTGGCACATACCTTTAGTCCCAGCACTAGGGAGACACAGAGAGGCAGGGAGATCTCTGTGAGGTCAAAACCAGCCTGGTCTACAGGAGCTAGTTCCAGGACAGTCTCCAAAGCCACAGAGAAACCCTGTCTCGAAAAACAAAAAACAAAAACAAACAAAAAAACCTTTATAACTTAGCAATGTAGAACTAATGTAACATCATCATTTTAAAAATGATTATTATTACAGTGCTAGGGATTGAACTCAGGACCTCTTACATGCTAGGCTAGCACTCTGTCACTGAGGTAGACCTCTAGCCTTTGCAAACATTTCAAATTAAAACTTTTTAAATTTTTATTTATTTTTATTTTATGTGTATGGGTGTTTTGCCTATATGTCTGCACCACAGGTATGCCTGGTGCCCAAGGAAGCCAGAAGAGGACATTGGGACCCCAAAACTGGAGTTACAGATGGTTGTGAGCTACTATATAGGTGTTGGGGATTGTACCCAGTCCTCTGCAGAAGCAAGAAGTTCTCTTAAGTGCTGAGCCAAGTCTTCATCCCTCCATCTTGTTTTTTGAGATGGGGCCTC